AATATATTTCCGACTCGAACCAGTTAAAATCTGATTGACTGAATGAATTGTCTTGACGCTTGTTTCAGAGCTTTCATCACCAGACTTGGGTTTAACTTTCTTACTGGACGCGCAATAACCATCTCTATGACCGACAACTTTACATTTTTGACACTTGTGTGGTTTAAAAGTACAGTCTTTGGAGAAATGTAAGTTACCGCAAAACCAGCAAGGTGTCGAAGGTTTTTTGTCAGATAAATTTTTTTTGTTTTTGTTAAATTTACCTTGCTCCTTCTGACCATTTTTAAACTTCCCTTTTTTATGGAAATTTTTAGATTGCACAAGAGCAACCGTCCCAACGTCTGTGGTTTGATTTTGCACCATCGAATTATCGTGTTTAAGATTAACCATTCGTTGACATTCGACGGCTAAATCTTGAACGGTAAGCGAGTCTGACTTAATATCAATTAAGTGTAATAACTTAGTTCTAATGTCAGTATCTGATGAAGAACGTAGTCCACAAATAAACATTAAACATTTAAATTGATCTGCAGTAGTTGTCGAGATTTGAAATTCTTCACACCGTTTGTTAACCAAGCCAGCATATGTTAAGAAATCATGTTGATCTAATTTCGACGCATTAAGGCAATTATATCGCTGATGAAAACGCGATATTTTCTTCCCAAACATTTCGGTAAGATTTTTTATTGTATTTGCAAAATCGAAATCTGTATATTCTTTTGGCAAGATGTAGTTAACATACTTTGTGTGAACTGTCATGCTTAATTTACGTAGGAGTAATCTGACCTTTGCTGCGTCGTCCAATGCATGGGCATCAACGGAAAATAATCCTCGGTAACGTACATACCATGCATCGAAAGTCAAACCATTCTCCGGATCGTAAATAAATTCTGTGATTGAATTGGCTAACGCATCTATTTTAGTTTCCAGGTCTACAGGTGCGGATGAAGGAGTATTGAGAATCTTGGCGATTTGTTTCGCAAATTCCTGTTGCTGAGCAATAAACTGCTGCTGCATCATCTGCTGAAACTGCTGCTGTTGCTGTTGCAACAACGGCGTTAATATCTCACGGAGACCTTCCATAATCCTCGTCGCCAGAAACTGTTATGTTTGTTCACTCACAAAAATAAACTAAACTTTGTTCTTTAAAAGAAAACTTGAGTCGTTTATTAAAACGTGTGAATGGTTACAGGAATGAACTTGGAATGAATGAAGATACATAATTTAACAAGAGAATAGTTGTTAAGAATAATTGAATGATTACACAGCCACACAAAAAAAAAATTTCTTTGGCCTGGGAATCAGAC